TTTTGCTTCCTCATCATTGAAGCGTGCAAATTGGAAATTTGCACATTTCTTCCTCACCCTTAAAGTAGGCAAATTAGAAATGTGCACATTGCTTCCATTGTTATGGCTTCCTTATAGAGGAAGCTTTAAGAGAGAAATCTAACTTTACTACGATGTTTCTTGAAAGTATTCAAATTATTCTTATTTCGCTCTTAAAGCTTCCTCTATGAGGAAGTCATAACAATGGAAGCAATGTGCAAATTTCTAATTAGAAAAAAAAGTAAAGTAAAGTGTGCAAATTAGAAATTTGCACATGGCTTCCTCATAGAGGAAGCTTTAAGAGCGAAATAAGAATAATTTGAATACTTTCAAGAAACATCGTAGTAAAGTTAGATTTCTCTCTTAAAGTTTCCTCTATAAGGAAGCCATAACAATGGAAGCAATGTGCAAATTTCTAATTTGCCTACTTTAAGGGTGAGGAAGAAATGTGCAAATTTCCAATTTGCACGCTTCAATGATGAGGAAGCAAAATGCAAATTTCTAATTTGCACACTTTCAAGAAACATCGAAAAAAAATTAGATTTCGCTCCTAAACCTTCCTCTATGAGGAAGCCATGTGCAATTTCTAATTTGCACACTTTACTTTACTTTTTTTAAATTGAAGAGAAAAATATACACTTTTTGATACCGTAAGCAGAACTGGCGAAGAAAAATTACTACACTCCGCACAGTGCGTCAGTGTGCAATTTTTTAGAGAAAAAACATGATCATGATTTTGAGAATGTTCCGGGAAATGGGAAGAGTGAATGCAAATTCCAATAAGAGCTTCTTAAAGCAGAGTCTTTGTCCTATAAAATGATAAACTTTTCAATTCGACCAGTTTTTGCGTAGGTACGCTTATTTGAAATTCGCCAAATTTTGATGTAAATTTCTTGTTGCGTTAATTTTTTTGACCAGTGTATTTTGTACGTCCAATAATGTACGTTCTTAAAACGTCCATATTAGGTCCATGGACGTTTGGACTAAATAAAACCAAAAAATGGACGTCCATTGGACGTCGTGTTTACTTTATTTATTGCTCTTCTTATCTCTTCCTTCTCTATCTCTTTTTCTTCTCCCGTTCTTTCCCCCCTTTTCCCACCCCATATCACTTTGTTTTCCACTCATCCCAGCAAAGCTTTGAAATACTCCTCCCATTGCCTCATTTCTATCTCTCCGTTTATCTTCTTCCTTTTCCTTCTTTCCGCGTTCACCACCCTCCATACCAGTTCCTCCGTGGTCGCCTCTTCCGCCTCTTTCTCCAATTTTTCGTTCTCTTCTTTTTTTCTTTCACATAACTCCTTGTATTCCTTCCTTTTTCTTCTGTATTCTTGCCTCTCACCTTTTCCTCTCTGCCACTCTTTTAACGCCTTCCTCGCCAACCTTTTCACTTCCTTGCATTCTTCATCCCACCATCCTCTCCTTTTTCTTCTTCCTGTTCCTCTCTCCCTTTCTACTTTCTCTATTGCTCCTCATCCCATACACCTCTTCCTCCCTCTCTTTCCGTCCTCGTTCTTCTTGCCTTCTTACTCTTATGAGTAAGAAGGCAAGAAGGTATGAAAGGTATGGAGAGAAAAGGGGGGCGAGTAGGGGAGGAGAGGGGAGAGAAAGAGAAGAACAGAGGAAGGAGGAAGACAGGAACCTTCTTACTCTTATGAGATAACTGTAACGTGCCATAAACAACAAGTTACTTCCCCCACCGCACACACTTTCCCGGCACCACTCCGTCCCGCACCTACAAGCGATCTGTATAAAAGACGGCGAAAAATCTACTGAGACACCAGATCCCGACCAGCGAGCTGAGCAGTTCTTCCGACGGTGACGACGCGCTGAGTCCGAGAACCGCTTCCTAACCTCGCGTGCTGAGCGAGATACCGAGCACCTTCCGATCACGACGCGGGCTGAGCGTCCCTCTGAGAACCGCGATCTGAGCGGGAGATCCTCTCCGAACCGTGTCACGAGTTGAGTGACGATCCTCTCCGTGGGCTAGAGCGAGTTGAGCGAAGCCTGTAATCCTCGCCACGTGCTGAGTGGCTCGTATACACAACACCCAACATAACCGCGAACACGAGCTGTCACCGGCGAGCAGACGGCACACCGTGCCGACACCGAACATACCGCGCCTGCGCCGCCCGCACCGAACCGTCGTACCGTGCCGAGTCCGAGCAAACCGAACCGCGTACGAACGCACCGGCCCGAACCGGTACTACCGCGCCGCCGCCGACCGTATCGACCAATAGATCGCCGTCGCGCATACATTCCCAATTCCGAAGCGCCCGTGCGCCAGATCACGCAAGCGAATAGCCGTCAGAACGGCGATAGTTATAAGGATAGTTATAAGTTAGTTATAAGTAGTTACATGTAGTTTAAGTTGTAAATATATTCTAGCACTTAAGTTAAAACCTGACTTTCTCTCTTTTCGAGACACCCACCGCCGGACCCTAGAATTCCCACGGCTATCCGTAACATCAAACATTACAGATTCAAACGGTCACATAACCATCCTTCAACCATACCACTACTGGCTGGTGGTCCGAATCAATCTTATCTACTATCTCCATTCTCTCTATTTCCTCCTCCGCTTCTTCCTCCACTATCACGTAGTCGATGATTGATTCGCCTCTACCTCCTGAGTATGTCCAATTTCCCTCCCTGTCTCCTCTCTCTCCTCCATTTAAAATAAACCGTCCTCTTTCCTTTATACTTTGTATCAGCTTCCTTCCTTCCTTATTTATCTTCTTATCCTTCGAACATCTCTTGAACTCCCACTCATCGGTTCCCTCTATACTTTCCTTTGCCCCTTCCTCTCCCGTTCTCGTATTGAAATCCCCCCTATTATTGTTCTTACTCCCTTTTCCTTTTGCTCCATCCATCCATCCTTCCAGTATACTTATAGCGAATTCGGTCGCTTGCACTAATGTACACTAGTGTACACTGAGTGCAAACTTTCCCAGTGCAACGTATTCGATCGATGCCTTCTGTTTCAGTGCATTGCACTCGTCGTATTCGGTTATA